CTTTTTTTTTTTTTTTTTTTTTTATTTTTTTATTATCTCGTCAGGAGGTAAAAAGAAAAAAGTACGTTAATTTCAAATGAATTTTGAATGAAGACTTAATTTTTTTATTTGTAAGTTTGTTGCTGCTGATAAACATAGGTTTTTGGTACTTACAAATAAGACTTTACTATATTAATTTGCACTTCCACTCGCTACTGCCATTGGTTCTGAACCATTGTATTCAGTCTTAGTCACGGATCAGATTCTTTTTGAGGGCGTTTCTTTACAAATCGAGTTCAGCCAAAAGACGTAACAAAATTTTTATTTATTTACTTGAGTAGTATGATACTTCAAATTTGTTTTTCTTGGCAAAATATTTTTTGTTGATATCTTTTGGTGTTAAAACAGGTATAAAAAGTTGAAGAACAGCTCTAGTTCTATAAGTGTAACTAGATTAACTGCTTGGTTTTTTTAGATAGTCAGCTAGCTAGCCCTCTAGGCGAGCTGACTTCACTAATAGCGTTTACAAAAACAACAACAAAACAAGAAAATAGACCTGGTGGAAGCCTAAATTTGTTGCTGATTTCTGCAGAACAGGCATCATTTGTACGAATGATGAGAAGTTTTAAGCAGGAAAACACTGTTAATGCAACAGCAACAGCAGTGACGATTTTGTGAACAGATTTAGCCAAACGAGCAACATCAATCAAATATAAAATTCTTGTTCCTCTTATTTGTTGCTACTTCATCATCGTCATCATTAACGTCATCGCTGTTATCGTCATCATCATGTATACATTTATCTATCTATCTATTCATTCATTTATTCATTCATCTATCTATCGTACTAAATCAAATGACTAATTTTTTCTTATGTTTCTTCTTCTCTTCTTTTTGTGCTTTTATCAGCTTCTATTTACATGTTTATTAATTTCTATTACTCATAGTTTTTTTCCTCTTTTTCATCTAGAAAATAAAAAAAAATTTAATTTAGTTAGTTATGCATGTAGAATTTTATCTTCAAAGCAATTTGCTGCTGTTTGAAAATAAGTGTTCGATTTATGCTTCATAAATAAAGTTGGAGAAAAAAATTTTCTTTCTTTGTTTGCTTTAACACTCAAAAAGACCTTATGACAAAATGTTTCTATAATTTCACTACTTTAGAGAAATACACTGAACTGTTAGGACTTTCTTCCTGCAAAAGAAAGAAAAAAGAAAAAAACCGATCACATAACGCTCAGAACTTTAGAACTGAAGCTAAGGCGTCTAATTTATGTGCCGTAGCTGTAGTTGTCAACGCAGTAGTTGATTGTCGTCATCTTCATCATTATTATCAATAGTTTCTTATCTCAACAAAAAAAAAAAAAATTTTCTTTTGCCACGTGTTACTCTCTCAGCGAATATTTTTGCAAAAAGGCATACATCACTATAATCTGAAATTAAAAACCTTAAATGGGAAATTATGAGAAGTTTTTTCTGTTCTTTTTTTTCTGCTTTGCGAAGGAGAGCAAAAAAAGTGAGGAACATCTCTAATTAACAGCAAATATAAATGCTTCACTTGCCTATTCATTCAATTATTGTCTTATGCATTTATCTATTCATTTATCTATTTATTTTTTTATTTATTATTTATCTATTCATTTATTCACTCATTCGAGTCATTCCTCTTTTTTTCTTTCTAGTCGTCTTTTTTTTATGACTACAAGGAAAAAATTAAGAAGGCATGTGCAGAAAATATTGGGAAAATCAATTTTTATGCACGCTGTTTATTAAAGAGAGCCTTTTTTCTTGTTTTCAGTTTATCCTTAAATTTTCTTCCCCATATATTTTTTGTTTTGTTTGAAGTGGTTATAAGCAACACCCACTTCGTTTTTAAAGGTTCACAAATATCCACTTTACTGAAACGGGGAAGAAGATAAAAAAACAGGAGAAAAAAGTGAAAGATTAAGGAAATAAATAAAAAGAATTTTCCGTTTTAATTTTTTTTGCTGCGGACATTTGTTACCAGTTCAATCGTCTACTATTGTAGACTTCGAAACCTCGGGTCTCTAATATAACATTTTCGACCGTGACAAGTGCAACTGGATTACCGACAGTCGCTGCTGGACCTTCTCGTCCCCGCTCCAGCAGGTTAGCAACAACCAGTTAGGTGTTCCTGGAAAGAATAGGTGGAGGAGGGGACTTTGATCTGTCTTAACTTGCTGCTACTTGTTAGTCTTAAAACCTTCTCGCCTTGTCTTAAGCATCTTCGATGTTCAGCCAAATGGCTTAAGCTTTGGTGCACCATTTGGATGAAGTACTTTGAGTGCAAAAAAAAAAATTTTTGGCACAGCATAGATGCAACAATCATTTGTTGTCTGTGAGCCTAAGCGGACAGTCAATTACTGAGAGCACATTTATCTAGACTTCATTACTTTGACTACATATAACAACGACGTCTTTTAGTTACTGGAAGCCTCAAGATCGAGAATCTCGAAGCGGCGAGTATTTCACTAGTCCTCATTCATTACGTGATGGAAGTCAAAGCATCTGTGAGATTTGTAAGTTTAACTAATTTGCTTTTTTGTCATTTTATTAAAGTATTTTTTTATGACTTGAATTTTTTAACTTTTGTGATTGTTAATTGGAGTATAGTTGGACTTTTATAAACAGTAAACTAAAGCTGTTGCGTATCAAGTGAATGAATACGTCTAGAAGATTTTTAGAAAAGCAAATATATTATACTCATAGAAATTTTAAGTAAATTACCTGGTTATTATTTTTTTTTCTGTTCTTTTTGAGTTGTCATTTGTAGGAATCGTAGTCGAAAAAAAAAGAAAAAGTTTAATAATTGTTGAAGTAAAATTAATACAGTATCAAGTATTCTAGCTGCAAATTCGTCGCGAGAACCGTCAAACAGATTAGGGTCACCAGATGCAGATGTTAGTGCAACTGGCACTTCTTCAAGGTTTTCTCATTTCTGAACTAAAACTAACATGATTTTGTTGCCTGTTTTGTACATATAGTTAATCATCTATTTTTTTGATTAAGGTTAAACAGTTATTCTTGCATAATTAGTTGTGCCTTACTATGCTTTAAAAAAATTCGGCTACTGTTGTTTCAACTTAGATCGGGTGTATTGTAGCTCCAGCTGTGAGATTAACGAAGAAGCAATCCAAACTAATGATGGTGTCGTCTATGATACCAGAGAGTTGGATAATGATGGTACGCTAGAAAGAATATCTGAGTGGGCTTTTCCAATTCTTGAATTTGGTGAACGGAATAAAACTACAGCGCTGAGCAAGGTTTTTTTAACGGTTTTTTATATAAAATATGAAAGGTTTTTTAAAACTTCGTTGTGACTATGACGTCATCCAACAGCGCTTTTCATTGTCTTAATACGTTATCGCCACCTGACGATTTGCGCTGATTAATATCAGATTGATCTTTGTATAAATTTGACGGCAGAATAGAGAAGCTTTTTGTTCTTTTTTAATTTTATTCGTCATAAGGAGCTTACTGTACTTGCAATCGGGATTTTTTTACGAACATTTTTTTCAAATTTACTAGTATTATCGTTGTTGCAATCATGCTTTTTCTTGCTCAGTTGTTTCACTGGTTAATGCCATTTTACAATTTCTGTTTAACGTAAAATGAGAAATCACAGAAGAAAATAACTCTTTTTTGTATAAGCCTGTAAAGAAGCAGTAAGATAACAAATTTCTTTTTTTTAACAGCATTTATTTATGTCAGCTTAGAAAGAACCTAAAATTTAAAACTCAAAACTTAATGGAGGTAATTGGTTGATTATTCGTTTGATTAACAACCGATTGAATTGCACTGTTTATGTGCTTTAATTTTTTTTTAACACCATCTCTCTGAACCCCAACTTTCTTCTCCTGATTTCCCCAGTAGGCAAACAAAAAGTTGAACCGGAAAACAGAGAGTGAAAGTGATAAAAAGAACAGAAATGTAGAAGTTTTCTAGTTTATTAGATTGGCATATTTGGTGTGAACTTATCATTGATTTATTTGCTGCTAACACGGAAATTTCTTCTCTCTCTTTTTTTTCTCATTTTTTCTGAATATGAAGGCAATTCAAACATTGTTATATGTTCACTTTTTTCTTGCAGGTTGCTTATACGATATTTAAACAATTTGACCTATTTCGAATTTTCAAGTTATCGTTGGTGAAGTTCTTTAATTTCTTCCACTCACTCGAAAGAGGATATTGGGATATTCCATGTTAGTGAGAAAATGGAAGAAAGCATTTTTTTATTGTCTACTTTTTATTTTTATTTTTGTCTTGGTCTTGTTTCTCTTTCTCAGTTACCTTTCAGCAAGCTGTTTCTGTCAGTTTACGGTAGTACAACAATATTTGTTGATATATCTTCAATTAAGTTTCGTTAATCAAATAAAAATTTATGTTTTAGCTAAACAGGCGCTAGTTTGTTGTTGAACACTTCTTAGTACAAACTTAAAGAGCAAATACACATGTCGAAATTATTTATTGCTTTTTTCTTCTCTCGTTGATTTATGTTATTGCTTTTTTTTTACTAATTTCAGATCATAACCGTTTTCACGCAGCGGATGTTATGCATGGCTGTTACTACTTGACATGTCACCCGGTAAAACCTCGTTTTGGTAATCCGGATTCTGCTAATTCTTACCCTAATGATTCTTATTCAGTGCCTATAGCCGACAGTATGAGCACACTAGAAGTACGTCTGTAAATCTTTTGAGTTTATCCAAGTTCTTTTTTTTTGTTTTCATATGTTTAATTAGATGATATTAGTTGAAACTATATTCAGTAACTGTCTTTTTCAAAACTGCATTTTTTTTTTGCTGCTTGAAAAACGGTTTTGAACAGTTTAAAAAGTATGTATATACGACTTAGAAAATCAAGTATAAATTGGTTTAAAAATTTTTTGGCGATTAATAACAATTTTTTTGTTTAGCTGATGGCGCTTTATACTGCTGCAGCGATGCATGACTATGATCATCCGGGAAGAACAAATGCATTCTTGGTGGCTTCCGAAGATCGTAAGGTTGTCCTCGCTAGAAAATGCTTTTAGAAATCAATTTTTCTTTGGAGATGGAGAGGGTCTTATTGCCTTTGCTTTATTTTTATGCTTAATCACTACTATTAAATTTTTTGCTAATTTACAGGCTATTCTTTATAATGATCGCTCAGTTTTGGAGAATCATCATGCTGCTGAATCATGGAAATTGTTGTGTAAACCAGAAAATTCATTTATCGAAACTTTTGATGCTGCTGAAGCAAAAAGATTTAGGTGAATGGTGTTTATTTTTACAACTAATTTTCACCAATAATGGACAAAGGTAAAAATAAATAATTTAACAAAATTTATTTTTTTAGGTTTCTTGTTCTTGAATATATTCTTGCCACTGACTTAAAGCAGCACTTTGATATTATCACCGAATTTCGTGAGAAATCATTAGAAATGGATTTGGGAAATGAATCAGACCGGGTAATCATCTCACAAATGCTCATCAAATTTGCCGATATTAATAGTCCAACGAAACCATATGATTTACATGTGCAATGGACTAAACGGCTTTGCGAGGAATTCTACTCACAGGTAAAGCTATTACAGTGATAACATTTTTGTGAACAAAAAGGCGGATGCTTATTGCATTAATCAAGCATTTTTTTTTTTGGTTTAATTGGGCCACCTATTGATTATTGATGTGGTATTTTAAGGGTGACGAGGAGAAACGACTTGGGTTAGCTGTTTCACCGTATATGGATAGGAATGAGCCGGCAGTTGCAAAGTTACAGGATTCGTTTATTTCACATATGGTTGCGCCGTTAGCGCACGCCTTGAATGAGGCCGGTTTGTTGCCGTCATGTCCGGGTTTACCGAAAGCAGAAGTGATGGTAAACTTGGAGTATAATCATACTAAATGGTTGAATGAGTTGGAAAAAGAACGGAGTAGCGATGATGAAGAAGACGTCTCAAAAGATGATACTTCTTCATCGGAAAATGTTAATGAAACAGTTAAGTTTTAAAGTGCTTTTATCTCTTTTCATCTTGTTTTTTTCTTTTTGTTTCACTTCTAAAGAAAAATTAGTTGGAAGGCAATAAAGATTTTTTATATCTTCAACCTTTCTTTTTTGTATAATATATGTCTTT